TTTCAAAGCAATAGGACATCATACATCTAGTTTTCATACATCTAGTTTTCAAAGTCATATACTATTTTCAGTGGTGAATGACACATTCTTAGGTCTAAAAGTTCGTTCATTTTCTGGGAATTTAGTTTCTATTTTTAGTTTGGTTTGATTTTTCTGAGACAGAATCTCACTCAAACTCACCAAAATTCCTATTTCCTCCCAAGAACCAGGTTTACAAATGTGCACAACGTCCCTCTTAGTTTAATTGTAATTATGTTAAGCCTTTATTTAACTCAGAAATTTACAAACAAGATGAGATTCAGAGTTTAATATAATTGCTGCTCCTATACAAGATCATCTAATTCATGTAAACAGTCTAAATATGTAATATTATAATGGACACAGTAGACACCCAATTTATATTTATTGAAAGAACTGTACTACAAAGATTACTGTTCACTATTTTACTGGAAGAAAAAAATCTAGCTGGTACAAATATTAACCAAACTAATAAGTTAAAGTGCACCCACCACAATCTGTAGTAGGATCTTTGAGATATTAAATACTATCTACACTGGACTGGTCTGTTAACTTATTTAAAGTAAACTACTATTAGGATACACATAGTAGCATATGCCTACAATCCCAGCATTTGGGAGATGAAGGCAGGAGGTCAAGAGGTTAAGAGCATACTCATCTATATAGTAAGCTGAAGGCCAGTGTGGGATATGTAAGCTCCATTTAAAAAAAAAAAAAAGTCAGATTTCTTATGTTTTAAAATGATTTTGCATACTCAAAGGGGAAAGCATTAAAGACAAATATTATGAGGCCCATGCTTTAAATGTCTGGTTTTATCTTATTATTACTGGGGGAGAGGGATATTTGTTTTTTTTTCAAGATAGAGGGTTTCTCTATGTAACCTGGCTGTCCTAAAACTAGCTCTGTAGACCAGGTTGACCTAGACTACCTCTGCCTCCTGAGTGCTGGGATTAAATATCTAATTTTTTAAATTTACATTAAATAAAATACTTCTACATTACTACATTACTAACTAGCTACTTTATGACTTAAGTTGATGGCTCCAACATGATATGTTTCCTTATGCATTATGTTCTCTAATTATAAAGCACACATATTCAGAAAAGGAATAGGCACTTACATTTTTAAATTAATCAAAATCCAGCTTTTTTCCTAGTACTTTACTGTAAATATAGAGTTCAACCTTTTAGAATAAACCACTTAGGAGAATTTATGGAACAATAACCCAGTCCTAACACTGTATTTCTATTTGAACTAATCTTCCTCCATTTTTTCTTTAAATAATATATTTATTCTTAATTTATGTCTGTGTGAAGTCATCAAATCTTAGGAGTTACAGACAGTTGTTAGTTGCCACATGGACACTGGGAATTAAAACCAGGTCCTCTAGAAGAGCAGTCAGTGTTCTTAACCACTGAGCCATCTCTCCAGCCCCTCCATTTAAATGATACACAAACTACAGTAACATGTAGTCACCTGCAATACACAAAAATCTTTTAGACAAATAACTACTAAAAAGTAGGCTTCATGACAGCCTTTTATTTGTGGTGAAAGAGGATGAAGCCATGAAGTAGCATGGGCAGATCACAAATCCAAGGACAATAGGAAGGACAGGTTGGAGGTATATTTTGCTACTCAAATATTTAAAATTGTATCATCCTTTAAATATCATCATAGTATATAAAGGAGAAAAAATTAATACATTTGTGACAAAGTACAGTAACAAGTTAACAAAAATAATAACCAAAAATGATCAAGCCAAAACCAGAAAGCATGATAGGTATAAAACATGCAGAAATACTTCCTAAATTGAGCTCTCAGACTAAAAACTAAAACAAAACTAAGGTAGAAATTGCTATAGAAAACAGTGAAGCCAGGTGGTGGTGGCACACGCCTTTGGTCCCAGCACTCAGGAGGAAGAGACAGGAGGATCTCTGGGAGTTTGAGGTCAGCCTGGTCTACAGAGTGAGTTCCAGGACAGACAGTGCTAAACAGTGAAACCGTGGAAGGGGAAAAGAGGGGGGAATAGACAGACACAACACAGAACCCAGTCTCTAGTGACCAGGGAGTTGGAAGCTGTGATGGTGGAATGAAAACGGTCCCACAGGCTCATACTTTAAATGCTTGGTCCTCACTGGCACTGTGTGAGCAGGGTTGAGAGGTGTCTTGCTGGATGGGTGTGGCCTTGTTGGAGGAGGTGTGATGGGGGAGGTGGCGCCTTTGAGGTTTCTAGAGGCAAGGACCAGACTCAGTCTCAAGTTCCTGCATGTTCTCTGCTGCCTGCTTCCTGCCACAATGACCACGGATTAACCCTCTAAAACTGTAAGCAAGCCTCCAATTTATGCTTTCTTTTCTAAGAGTGGCCTTGGTCACGGTGTCTCCTCACAGCAACAGAACACTAACTAAGGCAGCAGCTAAGTAAGAAAGGCAGGTTCTTCGGTAGCTAGAAAGTCTATCAATGTTCTGTCCCAAGTCCTGGAGCATGAACATGGCTGTTCCAGCAACAGCATAGGATCTTCATTTTATTTAGGGCCTTTAACCCAGAATTTAGATCACAACATAACAATATCACTTTAAAAAACTAATTTCTACTTCTGCACTAACAGTTTCTCTAGTCGCTTTTTAAAAGCAAATCCATATTGCAGATTTTATTTTGTGTTTTATTTTGGAGGCACAATCTGGCCTGGAACGCACAGGTATCTATCTACTTGCCTCTGCCTCCCAAGGGCTGAGATTAAAAAAGCATGTGCCACTATGCCTGGCCATGGCATAGATTTTTTTTTTTCAGGGCATAGATTTTTTTTTTTTTTATTATAATAGTTTCATTCCTATATCATCAATCCATCAATATAGCCTACCAAATAATATATTGTACTCACTAGTCTACAGTTTTCAAGGAACTAAACTCATCACTGAATGCAACTGCAGGACTTCTTTTTAAAAAAACGATCTTGGTGGGTTGGAGAGATGGTTCAGTGGTTAAGGGCCACTGGCTGCTTTTCCAGAGGACCCAGGCTTGAGTTCCAGCACCCACACAGGAGCTCACAACCATCTATAACTCCAGTTCCAGGGAATCTGATGCCCTCTTCTGGCTCTTCTGGCCTGCTCTGGCACCAGGCACAACAACAACAACAAAAAGACGAATTTGGAAAAATCATCATAATTCTTAAAGCCAGGTATCAATGAAGGAGTACATACAAACTCTAAATTTCCTTTGGCTATACACTATAAAAAAAAATCTCACTAAGTTTGGACTGAAAATATGCTTAAGATACAGTCAAGAGTAACACAGGCCTGTAATCCCAGAGTGTAGAAGGTAGAGGCAGGAGGATCAGGAGTTAGGGGCATTGGGAGCTACAAAGCAAGTTCCAGGCCAACCTGGGGTCAAAGCACACCACAGAAATAGAGAGGAAGGAGGGAAGGAAGGTAAAGAAGGGGAGGAAAAAAAATATAAAGTTCAGAAATAAAGATTTGAAAGTTGTGTACCACCTATACATGTAAAAAAAAAAAAAAATACTCTTCAAACCTAGAGACAAAGAAGCCACTAGAGCCAGCCATGGCTATTGGGGTTGTTTTTAAAGATGGGAAAAGGGGTTGAACAGAGAAGCTGGCCTCTCTCACAAGTTAAATCCTGAAAGCCAACCAGAAGGGTCTTTCTCTGTGGCACCTAGGACTAACATTGCCACGCTCCAAAGGGCCTTGCTAAAAATAGGTGAAGAGAGCTGCCCAATTTTGGAACTAAGTCAGTCTATGCTACACTCTCATATGTGTATAAGAGGGAGGACTCAGTCAAGAGAAACCAATAATAAACGTTTTATTTGTTCTGTTCATATTTAATTATTCATGTTGAATTTTAGACTGATCACACACACACACACACACACACACACACACACACACAAATGACAGCTGCAATGAAACGCTACAAACACCAAAAACCTGAAGAGAGTGGAGATTATCCAAACCTGTACCTCAAGATATACCTTAGATCACAAAATGTGAGAATCAGGTCACTAGCCATTATTAATCCCTTCACAGATAATTACAAACCTCCAAAGAAGGTAAGATGTCTTTAATCTCAAAATAAGAAAACGGAGGTGTCTAAACTACGGCGGCAACACTAAAGAAAAACAAATTAAAAGAATATTCTAAGAAGTAATGTCTAGTGACTTCTAGCAGAAAACAGTAACACCTCACTAAAATGTTTTAAAAGTAAGTTTATAAACCCAGGGCTGGCAGTCTCCCAACAAAGTCGGTCCTGTGTCAAAACAACTGCCCTCTCTAACTTAAAATCCATGCAGAGCGCAGAGCATCCGCACTTTTGCCTCAGCTGTGCACAAGCACTCTCGTGGGACAGAGGACACAAAACGGACAGGACGTACTCAAGACCTGTCAATTAAGGAGATCACACAAGCCCGACAGCGAGCCGGCCACCTGTTCGCTACTCTTCTGAGAGCCCGGACAACTACGGCAGAGCGAAGAACTGGGAACGCCTTTGTTGTTCTCAAAGTAGGGGAGCGACCGGGGTTCGGTCCAACCTCGCGCCTCGGGGCAAAACTTGCCCGGGGCTGGAGAAGTCGGCCGGGACCGGGGCTTTGAAGAAGCCCTCGCCTCGCTCCGAAAAGGCAGGCGAAACACTGCTGTCACCCACTAGTCCCCGGAGGGGGTAAGGGTCACAGGTGAGGAGGGCGGGGCGGGGCGGGGCGGGGCGGGGGACGCCGCTCGGGGTGGGAGGACACGCGGGTCCGGGCGAGGTGCTACGCGAAGAGCGGGCGGGCAGGGCAGGGCAGGGCAGGGCAGGGGCGCTGAGGCGAGGAGGGGCGAGGCCAGCGTGACGGGAAAGGCTCGAGGGGACACCGGCAGGGACAAGGGACCGGACAAGGGACCCCCACCCTGTAGGACCGGGGCACAACTCTTCAGCCGTCGCCTGCAGGCTGCACCCGGGCCGCCGCGCTCACACCCTGGCGGCGGCGGAGACTCACCCGAAGGCTGCAGATGCCCCACAGCACAACATGGGACCGCTACGGACCCACTCTGGAACCAACTGAGTGGCGGAAACCGCGGCGTTAGCGTGACCCGGATGCGCATCCCTAGGAACCGGAAGTAGGCGTACGGGGTCGCCTCACAATCCACACCTCGTTCCGCCCGAACCCTGAGTGCGCCTCAGGCTTCTCGGGGCGGGGAAAGGCCCAGGCCCCGCCCACTTCGGCGACGGAGGTCAGTGATTGATTGCCCGGTTGCTACGCGCTGGTCTCTTTCTGAGTGCCTGGTAGGAGGCTGATGCTGCTCCGCCTCCTTGGTGAGAAGTACTCGTGCCCGCATTTCCTTGCCCTTCCCCCATCAAAACAAAGTCTCATTACGTAGCTCAGGCTGGCCTCGAACTCACGATCCTCTTCCTTAGACCAAGGACTGGTATTGCAAGGCTTGTGCCTCCACGCCCAGCCACAGCTCTCATTTTTAAAAGTAAATTCTTCAAACTGCGTGTGGTTCCTACGGTAAAGGACGGTGAAGTTAGAATACTGACTTCAATTTGTATTTTTAGAAAAGCTGGAAGAATTAAAATAAATGGGAAGTTTTGAAGATGCTTGGAAGGCAGGCTAACTCAAAGTGAACGTTTTTATCTGAAATTCTATTTTATACCTAGTAGCATATTACATTTGCAGTTACCTTCATTGTGTGCACATTGTTTTTTAGGAACTTTTTTTTTTTTCTGAGACAAGAGTTTCTCTGTTTATTCCTGGCTGTCCTGGAACTCACTCTGTAGACCAGGCTGGCCTCTAACTCAAAAATCTGCCTCCGATTGCTGGGATTAAAGACATGTACCACCACCACCATCTCAGGAACATTTTTTTAATGCTTCATTAATTTTAAAATACAATTCCAGTGTGGGCAAGGAATGGGATTGAAAACAAGTTCTGTGGAATCTTCAGTGTATTCAGTCTAACACCCTTAAGAAAAAAGACCCAAACTTACAAATACAACATTAAATTAATCACAAAGTTTAAAAAAAATCATATTGTAACATGAATAACAGATGACCCAGAGACTAATTTGAGGTTCAAGCTGAAAGATCAGAAAAGCAATACATTAAGGCCACTAGTCTTACCTCTACCTCAGATACTGTCTCCACAAGTCCTCAGAATGCAATCCAGACTACCCTGCTCTCCACCAAGCCTCAGGCTGCAATCCTAGACTGTCATGTTCTACTCAACGTGGCTGGAGATCAATTCTCACATGAGACCATTTGCTTCTTCCTTTCATACCTCTCAAATCCTGGGAATAAAGGCATGAGATCCCAAGTGCTGAGATCACCTTTGTGTGAGCTGTTTCACTTTTGGACTGGATCAATTTTCTGTAGCTCAGTGAGGCTTGAACTAACAGAGATCCGTCTATCTGTCCTGGAATTAAAGGTGTGTACCACCTCCGCCTACCTTCTATAACTAGTATGGCTGGCTTTGCATTCTAATACTTCAGGCAATCTTTAATAAATCATAAATAATACATCACCACATCTTTTAAATATAAATAAGAAGACTTATTAACTCCTATTTCAACAATTTTCTAAACAATTACTTTGGTAAGATTCTTTACCCTTTTTTCTCACACACCATGTCTAATTAGCTCAGTTAGTAGACACTGTCTTCGAAGTCTTTGCAGAACCTGGCCATTTACCACCTATGTTGGTATAAGCCACAGTCAATCTGTGGTTTTTAGTGTCCTATTTATAGGCCTGCTATCCCACACTCTTAACCCAGAAGCAGAAGTCTGTTAATAAGCTCATGAGCTTCTTCCAGTGACTTTCTATCTCAGAGTGAAAACTATAGTCTTTACATTGTCTACAGGACCCATAAGACTTAACTCTGTCAAGTAGAACTCTAACCTCTTCTTGAACTTTCTCTAGTCATCCCTCCACTTAAGATGCCCTGGCTTTAAGTGAAAGCGGCACATATCTTTAATCCCAGCTTCAGAGGCAGAGGCAGGTGGATCTCTAAGTTTGAAGCTAGCCTGGTCTACAGAATGAGTTCCAGGACAGTCAGGACTACACAGTGAAATCGTCTTAAAAAGAAAGACACCCTGGCCTCCTCTGCTGTTGCCTGAAGGTCAGCTGAAACACTATCTGCTTTCTACTCTCTCTGCCTGGAATGCTTTTCCCTCATAGGCCTACATCATTCACCCTGTTGCCTCTTTTACATCTCCGTTCAAATGTGCCACCTCAATGAGATCGTCTCTGACACTGTACTTTAACTGGTGTGGAGGTTTGAATAGGAATGGTGCCCATAGACACTTGTGTTTGAATGCCTGGCCCATAGGGAATGGCAATATTAGGAGGTGTGGCCTTGTTGATGGAAGTGTGTCAGTGTTGGGGCAGGCTTTAAGGTCTCATATATGCTCAAGCCATGCCCAAAGTCCTCTTCTGTTCCCTGTGGATCAAGATGTAGAACTCTCAGCATCTTCTCCAGCACCATTTCAACCTGCATGCTGCCATGCTTCTTGCCATTATAATAATGAACTAAACCTCTGAAACTGTAAGCCAGCCCCAATTAAATGTTTTCTTTATGAGTTGCCGTGGTCTGAGCTGACTGCTCTTCCAGAAGTTCTGAGTTCAATTCCTAGCAACCACATGGTGGCTCACAACCCTCTGTAATGAGATCTGGTACCCTCTTCAGGCTTGCAGGTGTACATACAAACAGAACACTTCATATATAATAAATAAATAAATCTTAAATGAATAAATAAATAAAAGACTCATCGTCATGGTGTCTCTTCACAGCAATAGAAACCCTAAGACAAATGGGAACACTATTATCTTTCTTGTACTTTCTTACCACAACTAATTTGTTTCATGACATTTTCCAACAAGTTGCTTGTCTCCCTTACTGAGAGAGTATAAGCTCCATGAGAGCTTGAATTTTGGTTTGAAGGGGGATATTTTTTTTTTTTTCTGAGATAAGGTCTCATGTGGCCCAGGCTAACTCCAACTAGATTTGTGGTTGAGAATGGATTTGAACTTATGATTCTCCTGCCTCCCTCTCTAGAATCATAGGTGTGCACCACCAAGTCCAACTTGGATGTTTATTTTTTGTTGTTGTTTTATTTTAGCAATAGAACACAGTATGTCACGTAGCAAACAACTAATAAATGAAACGATTTTGCTTTTACAAACATGAAACCATGCAAGTTGAACTGCCAGCTCCACCAGAGGGAGCCCACAAACAAGGAGATGTCCCCAACATTATTCCCAAAGCATAAGACCTACATGCACATCAGCTCTGTGCCCTGTTAGCAACTAAAAACAATGCTCTGGGACTGACAAGGTAGTGCAGCCTGTAAAGATGCTTGCCCCAAAGATTGATGACCTGAGTTCGATTCCTAAGACCCACATGGAGGAAGTGAAGAACCAATTTCTATAAGTTGTTCTCTGACTCCATATGCAGGCTGTGACACCCATACACACATACACAGATAAATAGATAAATGTAAAAAAAGAAGTTAAAATGGGGGGGGAGTGCACCCCTTTAATCCCAGCACTCAGGAGACAGAGACAGGCAGATCTCTGTGAATTCGAGGCCAGCCTGGTCTACAGAGTGAGTTCCAGGACAGGCTCCAAAGCTTCACAGAGAAACCCTGTCTCAAAAAACAAAACAAAATTAAAACAAACATGCCAGTGTCTTTGCAAATATATATACATATACCTGCAAACACACACACACACACACACACACACACTGAATTTCATTATGTAGCCCTAGCTGGGCTAGAACTCTATGTAGACTAGGTTGGCCTCAAACTCACAGAAATTGTCTGATTTTGCCTCTGTAATTCTAGGATTAAAAACATTCTGCCACCGCACCCAGTGGCCAGCCCTTCCCAGTTCTCAGAACATATGCCTAGCCTCCACTCATATACTGACCTCTAGCCAGAATGGTCCTTCATATTTGCTTGTTCATTTGAGGTTATGGTGGCACAAGCCTGTAATTCGAGTACTGGGGAGACAGAGACAGGAGGACTCTTCCAAGTTGGAGGCCAGCCCAGTCTCAATACTGAGACCTTGTATCAAAATCAAAACAAACAAACAAACAACAAAAAAAAAACTATATGCCTTGACCAAATCTTACAAGTGTACACAGAAATCAAAATTGAGTTCACTCTATAAATGAGGTCACTGTGTATGGGAAAAGTTAATCGACTTGCTTGAGGTCACATGACTAGCAAAAACCAGACAAAGCTGGGCATAGTGATTCATACATGTAATCCCAGAACTCAGGAGTCTGGGGCAGCAGGATGATGGGTTCAAAGACAACCTGGGCCACATAGCCAGGCCCTAGTTCAGAATACCAAAGAACAGCAGTCACCTGTGGGACCGCTGCCACTCAGCCTGCCCGAAGTGTAACTTCCCTTTTCCTTCTTCTCTCTCCCAGATACTTGCCAATACCTGGGCCTGTTTCCCCGGTGTCCGAACCACCCTCCTGCCATCGCTCATCTCTGCACCTAAGACAAAGGCATCTTTCTCCCTCTCTGCTCCAGGCAGCTGCCAAGACTTACAGCTTGCCTGCCCTGTTATTTTCCTCTTAAACTCTAGAAAGTTATTCTTGAACTTAATAGTAATAATAAAAGAACAAAACACTAAACAAGGACTGAGACTAGGTCAGGATGTCTTCAGAGTCCAGGATCTTAACTCCTGGGTCATGCTGCTCTCCCACTTCAGGAAGAGCAACAGGTAGCCAAGCGGGGAGGAGGTTTGTATTTACTTACAGGTTTCTCAGTGACTTCATGCCTCTCTCCTCTTCCTCCTCCCTCTCTTTCTTCTTTCTTCCTCTCTCTCTCTCTCTCTCTCTCTCTCTCTCTCTCTCTCTGTTCTAGAACTCCCCACACCTTTGCCTCCCAGTATGGGGATTCCAGGCATACACTGGGTGTTGTTTCCTTCTGCCTTAGTACAGTATTACTGAGAACAAGTAAATATATATACACAAAATAAATATACCAAAAATGCTGTTATGATTTCCTCAAGCTGAGTTGCAAATAATCACGTATCTATATGTTTCCTTTTCTTTTTCTGTAAATTTGGACTCTTTCAGAACTTAACAAAAGAAAGGCTATTTCTATTGTGTTATAGACATATGT